CCTGCCTGGGCCGCTCTCCCTTTCTCCCCCCCCACCCAGCCACTGTCCAGCTCCTGTGTGAGGAGGTAAGCACATGTTTGACCCCCTCTGGCCACTCTTCTTTCTCCCTCCTCACCCCATCAACTGGCCCCTGCATGAGAAGGTAATAAAAATTTGGTTTTAAAACAGAGTGCTGCTCAATTCCTCAAGTTATGGAGGGGTGACCTGGAGTCTAAAAACACTGAGAACCTAGCACTATAAAAACCTTTCTAAACAGGTCATATTTTAAAATGGTATACAGGATGAAATGACTAGAATAGAAAGGACTGCCTCATATTGTTAGGGCAAGCTATAATACAAATTTTTCATTTGCATGGTGCTCCATTTAGTTGTTATTTGAACATACTGAGTGAAAAAAAAAAAAGAAAACATAAGGGTATCTTACAACATGCATTTTCAGGATCAGAGTTCATAGCTAGGTGTACGCCAAAAAGATATACCAATGAAACATCAGTCTTGAAAGAAAAATATTCAGCTTAAGCATTCTTCCTGTTAAAATACCGTTATATAAACAGTACAGTTTGCAAAGCAATGTAAATAAAGGGTGATACCATCCTGAGCAGTATATAACTCATATAGACTGCATTACTAAGAAAGCAACAACAGTACCTCCAGAAAGATCCATAAGAAAAAATCACATTAAGGTAGGACTGAGTATGAAATTCAGCTAGTTATAAACAATGTGGACACTATCAATCAAAACAACATTCATATTGCCAATGTTACCCAACAATTCAGAGAGATGATAAATGTAACCATTCTGGAAAAAAAAAATATGAAAGCATTTAAATGTTTTTAATATGGCCCAGCATAACACACGATTTATCACACATTACAGACTTTTAAATAATTTGAGGAATTTCTTAAAAGTCAAAAATCCACTCCTCTCATGAATATGGCTATAACACTTACCAATGGTAGGGGAAATGACTCTGTGCACTGAAGGAAATCACACATCCCTAAATAATATCTTTAAAAAAATATTACTGTAAAATGTAAACATAATTTGTGGAGTTTAGATGGCACACTCAATTAATCAATTAATTAGATGGCACACTCAAGCAATCAATTAATGATACTAATGTTAAAAATAAGAAAATGTATTTTTATAAAAGTCACAAAAAGCTCAGATTCCCATTCAAAATTAAGGTACCAATCCTGAAAACAATACATAACCTACAAGGCAAGCAGATTTCTGAAACTAAGAAGCCTGCCCTGATGGCTACAACACTGAACTTCACCTTGGGAAACTTAGGTCCAATTCTTAATTCAGTCACAGATTTTTATGAAAGGGTCAAGTAAATTTACGTTTTACTTTAGTTCACCTTTTATAAAAAGGGCTAAAGCTTACTTGTTTCACAAAAGGTGTTGAAAGGACCATATTAATTAATTATTGGAAGAGATTCAAATACATTAATGAAAGGGCCCATATAAATATCTAGATAGAACATTTATTCAAAATGAGAATTGGTGACAATTTGATTACAAAAGTCTCTCAACAATGAAAAAGGGTTATTTCCGAATGAACAAGAAAATATTTTCAACTTAACATTTAACTTGATTTTTTACGGCAGAACTTTCAAGTAGTACATACACTCATGTGGTCTGCAAAAGTTTGTTATTTTACCAAAAATGGCTTAATTTTTTTCTTTTCTATTCCTGTAAAAAAGCTCTACAAAAATCAAGACAAATTGGCTGCCTAAAACGAACAGAACTGACAAAAGCAATGAAAAAGAACCCTTCCCTCCCTGACCCACCAAAACCAAAAAACAAAAACACAAACCCGTAAAAGAAATCCCGGAATTTTCCATGCTAGTAATCTATGGGGCAGCTTACAGAAAGTAAAAATGTTCAGAATTAAGTAATTCTTAAGCTAGTGATGCTTAAGCCTATAAATAAATAATTTAAATATGAATACCCCTATAGATCCAATATCAGTAACGACTGAGTAGACAAAAGTGTGTTATCTGAAAGGGTCAAACACCTATCCTAAATATAAAAATCACACCTAGCCAACTACTAACCGTTTCTTAGAACTGAGTTATGAACAGACCTAGCTATGAACAGTTCCAAAAATGTTTACATGTTGTGCTACTTAATTAACTATTCATTATTCTGACTGATGCACATTACAAGCCTTAACACAATAAAACTTTAAAAAGAATCCAACATTTCACACACATTTTGCTTTCTAGAGTTATTCTACATATATTTAATAAGCTGACTAAAAGATTTCTGTTTGACTTTTTTATATGTGAAACTATTTATAGCTGTGTTGATTTTTTTAAGATTACAAAACAGTGACCATGAATAAAGTCTTGATTGCAAATATTCACTATAATTCTTAGAAGGCTTCTTAAAACAACCTGAAAACATTCACACACAACACACGCATTCCAATAAATTCACGCTACTTTGCTCTATTTGCCACACTGTAAATGTAACATGCCTACAGTCTGCTTACCACTGATTAAACAGCCGACTACATTATAAATTTGATACAAGCTATGTTCAGTATCAAAGAATGATGATATTATTTCAGTTCTTGTTCATTATCATTCTGTGCCAGCTTCCAAGTTCACTAATGGTTTAGGAATTTATGCCAACCTCAAAGATGATGTCATCAGTTTCAAAAGAGTTCAAAACTATCATGTAAATCTGCAGTATATGACTGATAACTACAAACGCTTCTTAATTACATATGCCAAGTAGCTTCTAGCTGCAAAGTATAGATTGAAAGGATGTTTAATATCATAAGCAAGTTGCATCTAAATTTCACCGGGAAGTTACGAGTGTTATTTAAGTAAGCTAAATTTGTTCTGTTGAGCTTTTTAAATATCTGGCTTTCTTGGAAAAAAAATGCATATAAGGCATTACTTAAAATATTTCACATATATAAAAGCTTGTGCAGTTCAGCTAGCAAACTGCAAGCTTTTGGACATTGCTATGAGATACAGCTGGAACTTGATCTGGAAGGGCGAAATGCTCCAGTGAGCTAATAAGGTAGTGCAATTTCAAGCTGTTCTCAGAAAATCCAGAATGATGAAAATGTTTCCCTTAGTCTTCAACCCCACTTACCAATCAGCCTTTGCTTTTCAGGTTCCCATTACCTAAACAGAGAGCTCTGCACCTTTTCAAAGGCAGCTATGTCTTGTCCCCTTAATACAGAGATGCTCTGTCCATAATAAATCCTGTCAGCCATACAAAAAGAATACATTTTGAGCTGTGAACGGATAAGTCTGAGCCTGAAATCAGGTGAGGTCCTGCAGCCTTCCTTTGCTGTCCTCACAGCTATGCTCATGCCTTGGGCCCTTGTTGTGCAGGTGATTTAAGCAGGACTTGAAAAATATATTAACCTCTTGCTGTCTACCTCATGGAATTACCTAGGAGCGTGTGTATGTAAAATCCCATATGAATTTAAGGCAGACAAGGTTCTTTGGGATATATTTTATTAGATCGACTCAAATAGTCGGAAAAATTCTTCTTAGCAAGCTTTCAGACACAAACACCCTTTGTCAGGCTGAGGAAGCACCTGCAGATGATCTGTGTTCTTCCTGGGTGGAGTGGTAAAGCATCCAGAGGCCAGTACGTATTCGAGAAAGCCAGTCAGTGAAAATGGAAATTGAGGTGGTCAGTAGGTGAGAGACAGGTGGGAAGGGCACATTACCTGCGGAGGTACATTTCTCACAAGACAACCAGTCTCTCTCCAATCTCTCAGTTCTAATCCCCAAAGGGAATTTACAAAATACCTTTCATAGACAAGCCTATGAACTTCACTTCATCAGTCTACTGGATACAAAAAAAATCATGGACTAAATATAGACACTGGATTTATGACACATTATAACCTGCCTAACATCTGACTCCCCAGGTAAACCCTCCACTTTTTACCAGCTATTCTCATTCCCTCCCCCTCTCCTGTCTCATCCTTTGACTACAGCTACATTAATTCCCCCTCCACCCCACCTGTCTCTCACCTACCCATCACCTCAATTTACATTTTCACTAACTGCCTTTCTTGCATAGGTACTGGCTGTTTTACCACTCCACCCAAGAAGAGGGAGCACAGACCATCTGCAGATGCTTCCTCAGCCTGACGAAGGGTGTTAGTGCCTGAAAGCCTGCTAAGAAGAATTGTTTCAACTATCTGAGTTTGTCTAATAAAAGATATCGGAGTGACCCAAAGAACCTTGTCTGCCCATCTCCTTAGCCCAACATGGCTACAACTTACACCCCTGAAATATGAATTTAAGCGCACATGCAGTAAGTCCTAGACCTTTAATGCCAGAGGGCTGTAAGTGAGAGAGGAACAGTGGGGTCAAAAGAAAGAAAAAAAAAAAACCCTGGTCCTACCCAATTCACTCTCCCTTTCCGCATCCACTCTCTGCCACCCTGTGACACAGGGCACCGAGAAGGGGGCCTGACCCAACGGACGGCAATTCTTACATGCTCCGTTCTTATGTCCAGCAGCCACAGAGCACCAGAGCCAATGGATGCACCGCTGCTGCCTGTTCATATAAGACAGAAGTAACGGTGCCGGTTTAACTAGCAGGGGAACGCTAGGAATACAAGGCTATAGCCAGAGGTGGAGCGCCAAGTATATAGCAGGGGGCAGAGTGCCAAAAACACCCACCACCTCCCCTTGCAAGATGCTGGCTCACCAAGGGCAGGTGGCAAGGGAGACACGAAGGGTCCCATCCTTGTTGTGGCTGCGCAGCCCCAGCCCCCGGAAGCAAAATGCCTTTGCGGGCCCCTGTGCGGGCCGCCTGGTGCCTGCAGGGTACCAGGCAGAGGGGTGCTCGGGGCACCCTGGGGTGCAGGCAGTGGTGGAGATCACGGACCGGTAGGTTTGGCCCCCGGTCCCCGCCGGGCTGCGGCAGGCCCAGAGCAGGGACCCGGCCCGCCCGCCCGCCGGAGGGAAGCAGGGACCCCGGCCC